GTATACAGAAGCCTGATGATGGCAGATGAGATTCTGCCAAAACGTTGCTACAACTTTAAAAGCACAACTATAATGACGTGGGAAAATACCCGAACAAAGCTGAATACTATATATATATTTATTTATTTATTTATATATTTCTCAAACTTGGCAAAGTTCCAGGGTTGAGAAATATTGTTCTATCCCTTCATGTCCATTCCAAGAAGATTGGGTCACAACTGAAATTATAAAAGTCATCTTCCAGCATCTTCCAGCATCACCAAGTCATCTTCCAGCATCACCAAGATTCTGGATTCTGCAGGATCTAATCTGAGTCAGTCACTGTCACCAGAAGTTTGTTCTTCCAAGCTTTCAGACTTGTGCTGGAGCCCATTAGGGAACTTCTCAATCTCCAGGATGTGTGGATTCTGTCCTAAACTAAACCCCAAACATACAGACTGAAATGAATAAAGTACTCAGAAATGGGAAAGGCAAAATTGAATATAGTAATTGGCCAAAGACTAGCAATAAATATTGGAGTTGTTGTTTTGTCTTGGTTTCAGTCCTGCCTCTTTCAGGACCACCAAAACTATCTTATTTCTCTATAAGAAGTTGACCACTTTGGGACAGTACTATAAGCCTTGTCCTAGAGAGTATCATTAGCTGGAAGAGGAGGAGCACATATGTAAACCACAATTTTCTAGCAGATTGTCAACATCTTCAGTCACATAAGCTCAAAATTATCTATAAAATAAGGTTAGATGATGGCATGGTTTAGCTATCTCTAATTCTGCCAAAACTGTAGTATGTAAGTCAGAGGAGGTACTAATATTTTATCTTGTCCATAGTGTACATGCAAACCTGGCCCCAAAGGTTTAAGTTCCTGACTTATTGCTCTGTGTCAAATAGGTTAATGACCCGAAAGAGATCTGTTCATCAATGTTGTGCAGATTCAGAAATGGTTAGAAATGTTTTTTTTTTCCTGCTCCCATCAGCACTGAAGAATAAAAGAGGCTTTCATCAAGGTTCAGCTATGTTTCGCTTCTCCTGCAAAATATTTCACATTTCATTATGCTTAAGCCTTTAGAAAATGAAATATTCTACAGTTTGGATAAAAGCACGTTGAAGTAAATAGTTTGCTGAGAATATTTAGCAGGATCATGGCAGATCCTCTGGTCAATTTTGAATTAAATTTCCATAAAGATACAAGGACACTGAAAATAATATGTCACTGAAAGTAAATAATACCATAGGATTCCTTTTCATGCATTGTAGAGCCAACTTGCAACCAAACATAACTTGATTAGTGACTTGTCCGTGACAGCAAAACTTCAGTAAACTTCATATTGACCGATTAGATCTTAAATCTAATACAAATCAAACTGTGCTATGGCAGCTACAAAGTTTGCCTCATCAAGATAATGACAATATGATGTAAAAGTATTACACATCACTATATTTGGAATTCCTCAACACTATCTTAGTATGATTAGGGTGACTACTGAGCAGTTGGGTGAATGGTACAGCTACATGTACATCTTGCTTCTCCAATTCAAGAGCAGTCATTCAATGCTGGTCAATTGCTAGTCAAATCCTTTTTTCATTTAATCAAGTTTCTTTATTTCTTCCACCCCTTGACTGACACCATCTTCTAACTTGAGCATTTCTATATTTGCTGGTTATTTCTGCTCTGTTGAGAAGGGTCCTTCCTTCACTTGGTATGGGAAATACAAAAGCAGCAAGATGGGAAATAAGTATATGGATCATTACAGAAACTATATGATAGATGATATATATTTAGAGACAGAGAGAGAGATGATAGATATTTATAGATAGATGATAGATAATGAGAGAGATATGTGGTAATAGATAAAATAAAACACATATATAGATGAGAGAGATGATAGACAAATACATGACAGATTGACAGAAATAGACAGTCACTAGAGATATGATAGGCAGTTAGAGATGTGTGTGTGAGGGGGGGGAAGAGAGAGAGAGAGATGCAATACAAAAATGCAAGATTGTTCCTCTTGCTGGCAGAAAGAATGGGAAGCTTTGGGGAGTGGGCTGCAATTATAACCAGCCAACAATGTTGTTTTTAAGCACTTTTTACCTTATCCAAATAGCTTGACTCACCTAGTAATTACCCAATGATTATTCTATATGCAGATTTTGAATCGGCAACAGTTTCATCAGAGCTCAATAGTCATTGCACTGCAGAAACCACCAACTGCCATAGAATTTATCTGCCAATCAACTGGACAAGAACCTTCCCTTGGATTTTTTTTTTTTCTGCTGCTTTTCCATAGTTGCTAGACCTTCTCTGTCCAAGCTGTTCTTCGTTCTAAGTTTATTTAAAAAGTAAAAAGAGGATTATTTACTCTGATAGTACACTATGCATTTTTGTAGAGTGAGGGTAGGCCTCAGTAGTAAAATCACATGTATACCTACAATTTTGATTGGCTTTTGCAGATCACACCAGACAATTATTTAAGTTACAGTTTGCTGAGTTCATGTTTACTGAGTCAAAATTACTTGATCCCTATTGTCACTAAGTGGATTCACATCATGCCTCAGCTACAGACCTTAATGTCCTGAGACCAAGTACAGGACACGTTCTAAGTCTCAAAGGTGCTTCTGACCTAGATGACTGAGAAGCTCCGTACGAGAACTTTTAAGATTCTTGTCAAAATATTATTTAGACTCATGTGATCGTTTAAATGTTCAGGTTTTTCTGGGGGGGGGGGGTATTAGTCTACCCACACTGTCTTGCAGGGAAAATAACTGTAGAAAGGATATTAATAATTCCAGTTATAATGTTGGGATGCTTGAATTGCATATAGCTCAGTCTTTGGCTCCAAAGTGCACAAGCCAGCCTTGCATCAACTTTGGAAAAAAGAATAGGGCAAGCCATTTGACATGGGAGAGAGAGACAGAATGATGTAGTGATTAAGCTGGTGGAATAGAAGTGGGGAAACCCCACTTCTAGTTCTGCTTTAGATACAGCAGGGCATCTCAATGTCCCTCAGTCTAAATCAGCACCAGCTTCTTAGACAAGCTGGCTGAAAATTTTCATTCCTTACTGCATCACACATTAACAGCTTCACCATAAGAACTGCAGCGAGGGCTGTGCAAAACAAGCAGACCGTGAAACCAAGCAGAACATATGGCTAGGAATAACACTAACAATGACTGTTAAGTCATTGACATAACTGGTTAACAAAACCGGTTATGAACAAAGCCCAACCTCCTTGAAGTGTCTATGAGAGTTTCAGTCATCCAGGTCATGGTTGTCCCAAAGGTGCATTTTAAAAAGGCAACTGGACTTTCTGGTTTTTCTTTGAAGATGTTTCGTTTCGCCAATTCCTGGTTAATTGTTCTCA